GTAACTAAAGTCTGATTTAAGGGTTGTTTATATTTTACATCATTAATCAGAATCTGCAAAGTAACTAAAATAAATGTAGTGGAGTACAAATACCAGGTTAACCTCTGAATTGTAGTGGAGTAGAACAAAGTAGTATGCTGCCGTAACAAAAACATTTCCCAACTTGGGATCAATAAAGTATATCTTATCTTGTCTTATCTTAAGATGATCGATGGCTACTGCTATATTTGCAAAATTTGCCTCTGAACCTTGACAAGTGCATGTTTCAGGCTTATCAATGAACAACAGGAGGGGTCACAGACATACTGTAAGACCAGTGTTAAATAAAGCTCTTCTGACCTTAGGTGTCATGTGGGTATTAATTCACCCATTTATTAATTATATGTTTTAAATTTGATAACACCACTGTGTTTCGTATCCCCTAAACCTCCAGGGTGTACACAGTTTAATACTGGCAACTTCTAATTGTGGGAAATACGAAAACGTCTTATAAAGAGATGTGCATAGAACATGTTGCGAAACACACAATAGCCAGCATGTGTAGTTCTAAATCAATATTGATTTAAACCAATCAATATTGTGTAATTAACAAGGATAAACTGATGTTTTTTAGTTGATGAGTAATGCCACTGTTTAATCATTTGACAGTTAGGGGAATATATCCGGTTTTATTATGAAAACTTCGAGACCGGAAAAACTGTTTTCACCTACACTAACTTTACATGGAAGCTGCATACACGTTATCCTGGCGAGACCTCAAATCATCTTCGTAATATCTATCAAACTATAGATCCTACACATCGACTGGACGTGGATTCTAAGAGTTCAATATACACTTCTCCCCAGAAATCGAATCAAAAAGCATTTGAATGGCCAAACTATTCCACAATTTAGGATTTTCCAGAGAGGGTTATTTGTGAATAAACGTCCCTCCGGAGCGTTTGCAATGAACGGGCGGAGCATGTTGTTTCTTACACGACCACTAGTGGTCGTGTAAGAAATAACATGCACTTTAAAAAATGCCTCTGGGTCGTAATAAGGGCATGAACAATCGGCCTATATGGTCGTTTTTTGTAGGAGGACGGGCTGAAATATGAATAAAAACACGATTGTCTTTGGTACCCTCACTGTAGAGCAATATTACCTTATAATCTTCAAATATAATTCAACAATCTCTAAAATCTCATATCAAATAGCCCAGGCGGATAATACGTTTCTATTTATATTGCAATCACAAATAATTCAATTAATCTCAATCTCTGAAAGGCTTCTACAAAATCCAATAACTCATTTTTGGCTGCAATCAACATAACAAAAAGAGTGGAGATCACCTAGTTTAAGCATAACTTGATATGATTGCTGAATTATTGTGCTGTTCTCTGGTCAGGGTGAGAGAATGACTGAGCAATATCTTCTGATCAGGGCCCAGAGTTGGCAGGACTGTAGCTGGTCCAGTGGGCAATGTTTCGCTGTCCAGATGGCTGTGTCAGGGTAATTCCCCTCAGAAGGGCTGGCCACTAATCCTCCAGAGAATCTGTACTGGCTTGATCTCATGCCTGCATGGGAACCCACACGGCCAGCCTACTGAAGAACGCTGATAGCCAAGCCTGTTTAGCTTATCGACACTAGCACAATCTGTTGGTTAAAGTAAAGACACTCGGCGTTAAGAATAAGGCAACTGTTGAGAGGTTACTGTAGGGAAAAGCAGGAGGCGGAGAGACACACTTTAGCGGAGAAGGGAGAGATCTTAGATCAGGTCAGGCTGATTAGGTGAAGAGCCAAGACTTATTCTCAGAGTGGGAACTATTTCTG